GAAATATTAGAATTTTTTGCAACCTGAGGTAAGCAACTTCTGGTGCCATGCACTTGGTGGATACTCTTGGAGCTGTTGCAGTTGAATTGGTAGGCTTGTGATCTTAGCTGAAATTGAAGGAATTTTCTGTGTGAAGGATGTATGGAAATATGAAAGTATGCATCTTTGAGATCTATGACAGTGAACCAGCCATTTTTGCAGAGTAAAGGGAGAACTGATTCAAGGGTAACCATACAGAATTTTGTGGTAATGATGTACTTAACTCTTGTAGGTCTAAGATAGGGCAAAGACAGGTACGGTGAAATAGTGAGAGAAAAACCCTTTGTTACGTTGTGAAACGGGTTGTATGGCATCTTTGAGGAGTAAATTTCTTATTTCCCCTTGTAGGGCTGGAGATGGTGGAGTGATGGTGTGTGTTGCCGGAGGAAGTTGGAAGAAATGGATGCAGTAGCCGTCGCAGATGATGGACAGTACCCAGGCATCTATAGTGATGGATTCCCAGACAGGTGGGTGTTTCCAGAGGGCAGGATGGGTGGAGTGGTGTGCAATCTCGGTCATGGGAGCGTCAAACGTGATGTTTGGTCTTGCAGTCGTTGCACCTAGTTGTTGGCGGGGTTTATTTGTTTGATTTCTGAAATAGGGTGTATAAGATGTTTGTTTTGGAGGATCACGTTGGAATTTTTGATATGGGTTTTACGGTCATCTCCACTGATTTTGTTGGGGGCATTGTTAGTAAGATGGATAAACTCCCCAATGTCTAGCTGGTGATCTTTTCTTTTGCATGTTTTCCAAAATATCATCAGTTTCAGCATTAAAGAGGCCTGCCCCATCGAATGGAAGGTCTTTGATACATGTGCAGGCATCCTCAGCCAGTCCTTAGCCAAAAGAAATGTCGTAAGGTTAAGTGTCATAGTATTCACGTTTGTGGCTCAATGTCAATGGAGCCAGCATGTCCATGGGCATTTGTCAGTGTCAAAGATTTTCAATATTGAGAGATGTCATCCAAGTGTCCATGGACGTCATTTTATATGGTTGAACATTGGTGTCGAACTTCGGGTCATAGTAATGTCGAGTCTGATGGCTTGGTTCTATCGGGCAACAGAAATCGTGCGTTGATAGAGGGACAGAACGAGTGTCCACGGATCAGGATGGATATCAAGGATCATCAATATCAGAGCCTGTGTCTCGGTGATGTCGAAACAGATTTTGTTGACGAGCTGGTAAAGCAGTGGAGTATACAGACGCTGGAGATGCCAAGTGAAAGGAATGATTTCCCTCATCTGGATTAGAGGGAAAATATCCGGAGGCTGGAGCTGTAAAAGCCTCAAGTGTAGAAGAAAACTGCTCCATCGTCCTGGGTCTTTTAGGTGCCAGGTAGGAGTTGGAGTTGATGAGGGTCATGGTGATATGGCCGTTTCGACACTGATGGCTGTAGAAATCGAGGCCCGCCACAAGAAGGTATAGCCAAGCTGGATAGAGCAACTGGTTGATTGGCGGTTGCGGTTTGTCCAGTTGAGCACTGGTTGGGGCAAATGGCAACCCGGTGAGAGTGCTAAATGCGGGTCTGAGCCACGCGTGATGAAATAGACAGCTCCAGGGACTGTTTGGGCCGATGTCTCTGAGGCGGTTGTGGTGGACGATCAGATGTTGCCTAATAAGGTATGGTCACTAGTTGTTGTTCGGAGTCGGCCCTGTCAGGTGAAGCAACTACAGAAGGGTTGCTTCGATTTGTTTAAACATGGTATGGGAAGAGGCTGTTTTTGTCCAGAATCGTTGAGCGGTGCTGAATAGAAACAGAAGCATCAAGATGTGTACTGGAGTAGCTGTATCTTTAGAGACTGGGTCGTATAGATGATCGGCTGGTTCTGTTGAAGGACGGTGCATTTGGAGATTGAGAGACAGCCATGCGGATCATAAGTTGGGTGTAAGTTTGGAAGTCTTCTGCCGGTGATGGTGGGTTGGCATCGACAAGGTCAGATTCTGATAAGGTAAGTACTACTGATGGTGTCTGAGGTCTGGATCCGTGATCGGAATAATTGGGATCATGTCCAGAGTCGACGGATTGTCGATCAACTTCGGTGTCAATAGGTTGAATGTCATAGTATTGACGTTTGTGGCTCGATGTCGATGGAGGTGGCATGCCCATGGGCATTTGTTGGTGTCAAGAATTTTCGATATCAAGAGATGTCATCTGAGTGTCCATGGACGTTGTTTGATATGGTTGAACTTGGGGTAATAGTGATGTTGAGTTCGACGGCTTGGTTCTATCGAGTGACAGAAATTGTGCGTCGGTAGAGGAACAGAATGAGTGTCCATGGACCAGGATGGATATCAAAGATCATCAATATCAGAGTCTGTGTCTTGGTGATATCGAAATAGAGGTTGTTAATGAGCTGGTAAAGCAGTGGAGTATATAGACCCTGGAGATGCCAAGTGAGAGGAATTATTTCCCTCATCTGGATTAGCGGGAAAATATCAGGAGGCTGAAGCTGTAAAAGCCTCGCATATAGAAGAAAATTGCTCAATCATCCTGGGTCTTTTAGGTGCCAGGTAAGGAGCATGTTGGAGTTGATGTGGGTCATGGTGATATGGCCGTTTTGATAGTGACGGCTGTCGAGATTGAAGCCCACCATGAGAAGATATGGCCAAGCTGGATAGAGCAACTGGCTGATTAGCGGTTGCAGTTTGTCTAGTCAAGCACTGGTCAGGGCAAATGGCAACCCAATGAGAGTGCTCGGAGTTGATGTGGGCCTTGGTGATATGGTCGTTTCAACATAGATGGCTGTTGAGATCGAGGCCCGCCATGTGAAGGTATGGCTGAGCATGTTAGAGCAACTGGCTGATTGGCAGTTGCAGTTTGTCCGATTGAGCACTGGTCGGGGCAAATGGCAACCAGGTGAGAGTTCTGAATTGGGTCTGAGCCACGCATTATGAAATAGATGGCTCCAGGGACTGTTGGGGCCAATGTCTGTGAGGTGGACATGGTGGATGATCAGATGTTACCGAATAAGGTATGGTCTCTAGTTGTTATTCGGAGTCAACCCTGTCAGGTGAATCAACTATGGAAGGGTTGCTTGAAAGAACAGTGTTGAGGACTGGGAGAAGACGTTAATCAATCGACTCTGTCATCACATTCCGGTGATTGGGAGCAGGATTGATGAGAGGGGATTCTGTCATCATCAGAAGGTGAACTAAATTCGACAGTTTGTTGGGGCTGCTGAGAAATGATTGCAGCTTTAGATTCATGCTGTTTAGGTCTTTTAGGTGGAGAAGGCTCCAGAACTGAAGAGGCTTCAGTGGACATTTGATGTTTAGTGGAGGGCTTCGATATAGAGGATTTCGGTATTGAACACTTCGATTTATGGGTTTTTGAAGTTTTATGCGAAGTGGACGGAGCGTCAGAGTGGGATGGTGTGGTCGGTGGATGTTATTTTGAGGCTTCAGAAAGAGCCTTCTCCATTGCTTTGGTTTGTGAGGTGGCTTTACAAGGAGTGTGGGCCATTTTGGTTGGTTGAAGGGATTGTTATCAAAAATGGAGTTTTAATCTGGGTAAGTGAGAACGGAGGACTTCGTGCTTGAAGTTCCTACAATGCTGGCAGGAGGACGTCTGGTGTACCTCTCCCAAGCAAATAAGACACTTGGTGTGGCTGTCGGAGAGTGGTATTTTGTTATCACAGACCACGCAGTGTTTAAATGGGCCCAAAGGGACCATAAATAAGAGAATATAATTTGAGGAGAAAAAACGATGGTTAGGGGAATGCTGAGGCCAGAGGCCAAGCAAAGTAGAAAAGAAAAAATCTCTGATGATAATGAATTTGATCTAAAAGTTTAAAGGAAAAAGATTAATAACAGGAAGGAACCAAGAATAAACTCACTTTTTCTTTTACTCACAGAAGCAGAACTATGAGGTCTCAATGCAGCAGTTGAAAGAAACTGAAAGGGGAGCCTTGACGCCAAGGTACTTATACGAGGGAGTAGAGGCCTTATTCTAATGTGTTTTTTGCTACCACAGAAGCTCTAGAACTTTCCGATGAGGCTCTGCACAGGAGCGGGTCACTCAGGGTGTGATTCACAGAGGCTTGTGGGAACCTCACAAGACGGATGAAATGTATTCGTCTTGCGAGGCATCAATCTTGAGAAAAAAAAGTCTTGTGAAGCATGGTCATAGAAAAAACTGTCTTGCGAAGCACCATAGCGATCGCAAAACCCAATCGTCTTGTGGGTTTTTCGTCCCCCCTAGGCAATCGTCTTGCAAGGCACCACTGTATATGCATTCAGCCAAATGTGCTTACAAAGCACCAGTCCAAATCTTCATGCTAAGTGCACAAAGATCTAATTCACATGCAGAGGCAAATTGGAGGAAGGATTTCTACATGTCCTCACATCCAGCCCTTCCTCTTTTCAGCATGTAACACCAGAATATGGCTTGATTTACTATGGATCAGCAATTTGTTAAGATAACCCCAGATACATTATGGCAAGGAGGAAATTAGTATTGGGTAAGTAGATGGAAGGCAATGAATACCAAAACACACAACAAGATGCAGTGTGGTTTACAGGTTGCTACCTGTACTTATTCTAGTATCAGGAAAAACAAATTAGCACTCCTTCGTATTAAACAAACAAAGCCAACATAAGAGCTATAGGACAAACTCCTCAGAAGTAATAAACACAGAACATACCTTTTTAAAAAAAAATTACAACTCAGAATTAACATTCTTGTTGTTCTGCACAAAAGTATAACAGGGAATTCACTGAAAGTTATTTACATTTCCTGTAGATACTTCATCATGCTGTTTAAAAGTGAAACATTTGTATATAAAATCAAACCATATTCAAATTGTCAATAAAGAAATAAGATGTTATTAAATCACAAATATATTTATTGGTGAAATCTGAACATATATCTTGGCTTTTTCATATTTCTTTCCATCATACCTCCTATGGTACTTCTAATAGTGCTTAGTTGGAGCAATAAAATAGAAACGGGAAAACTCTACCTTTGCTGAGACTGGCGTGAGTTCCTCTGCTTTCTTTTTTTTAATCTGCTCCTCATCCTTCTCCTCCTCTGCCTTTTTCTCCGGAGTCACAGTGGTTATCAAGTTGGTTTGAGAGATGCCCTTTGTTGTAGCATACTGGCCAGTACCAACCTCTGCAGCAGACATAGAATCCTTCATGTACATTTCATGGTTTTCATTCACTGATGCTAAAAGCAAATATAATTCAAAGAGGTAAAGTCTGAAAGAAAATGCTTTGCAAAACAAAATAAGAATAGATTGTGGATTAACAGTGCCATTCCTCACATGTCCACTCAACTGCAAGCCTCACTGAACCCAGTGAAACTTGCTGTCAAGGTTAGGTGAACACAGAATTGCAGTGTAAACCACTTTGGCAGAAAATGAAAATGTCATGTTTCAGAACATGCAGAAACATGTATCAATAAATACAGCTGCAAAAAAAGAAAAAATTAATATAGAAATGTGTGTATGCATATACACATATTTTAAGGGTTTATATGTATTCACAAACATGCAGTTGCTCCATAACATATACTGTTCTGAATACATTTATAATGTTAGCTGCTAGAATGCTTTGCATCAGATTACTGAAATGACCTACGCATTGCAACATTCCTTGCATAAGATAATGTAAGTAATAATATGGATCTAGCAATGTATGCAGCAAGAAAGCTTTATTTATGCAATCTTTTAAATTAGTAAACAGAGGCAGTGCAAACAAAACAAACCCCCAAAGCAGGATACATTCTAAAAACCAATATTCATTCAAAAAAGGTTTACTAATTTACTGGAAAGAACAGAGGAGGTTTAAAAAGCTGCATATATAAAACATAAATACATTACTGAATCAGAATATGGGATACATTAATATACATGTCATTAATATAAACTATATGTTCCTTTTATTATCTGCTTCAGAGTGGCATTTCAAAACTTCTATGCTTTTATTCATTTAGCATTTTCATTATATTAAATTGTGAGATGTCTTTAGCCCCATTATTGTGAGAAAAGTGGGAATTAATCAACTATAAAGTACTGAAACCAGGCCCATTTAAACGTGCCAACAATATCCTAAAGTTCATACAATCATACAAATGCTGAGTGCAAATCTATCACACTCATTTTCTCTTTCTCATATTCTACATTCCTTCCCTCTGCAGCATGTTAGGCCATTTAGTTATTTCAGTATTGTATCACAGCTATGTGAACACACTCCTGGATATAGTTCAAGGGATTACAGTGGGGTCTTGACTTGAGAACTTAATCCGTATTGGAAGGCGGTTCTCAAGTCAAAAAGTCTGAAGGTCAAGTCTCCATTGACCTACAGTGCATTGAAAACCGATTAATCCCGTAACAGGCTGTTTTTGTTCCATTTTGGTTTTTTTCTGGTCTGTAAGTCAATGCTCAGTCTGCAACTCAAACCTAAATTTTGCGGCCAGAGAAGTCTGTAACTCAAAAAGTCTGTAAGTCAAGCCGTCTGTAAGTCAAGGGTCCACTGTATATGAATAAAGTGATCATAATTTCCAATCAGTTATCCAGTCATTAATGTGACATGTTCTTCTGATGATTTAGAATATCTTGAACCATTCACTTTAGTACTAAAGATAGCTATTTTGTCTAGTACTTGTAGCCTTAAATTAGCCCAGTATTTTCAAGGCAGAATCCAAGGACCAAATGGAAATGACACTTTTCCTATAACTAAACCATTGGATAATTTAAAAAAACAATAATAGCATGAATGGAGTAGAAGAGTCAGATGACAACTTTGGACTGAAGGAAGAGAGTTCTATTTGCTGCTGGTGCAGTCTTCATCAACAAGGGTGCCAATGGAAGCTTTTCCATGATTGCAAGCTATCATCTGTAGGCCCCCAACTCCAACCAAGACCACAGTTCCCATTGGCTTAAGTCTCACACCCACATCTGCTATTACTTTTTAATCACCATGTATCTAGTTTGATCCTCAACAGTAATTCCTGGGGAAAGGCAGTTATAAAAGTGTATACAAGTAGGGTATTTTGTGAGTGTTTCAACACAATAAGCTCTCTTACACTTTTTTGATTCCAATCAATCAATTAACCTTCTTCAGATCTCTATCCCAATCATTTGTTGGATTTTCTTACAGTACTGTTATTCTGCTTTATGCTGATTTCCATTGTGACTTTATTATTTGCTTATACCCTACACTGATATTTTTTTCTGAAGGACAATATTTTAAAAGAAATGAAAAGAATAAATATAAAATTGCCTCTGTGTTTTTTGGCAGGTAAACATTTAATTGTAAATGAGCTTATGTACTTGAGAATGTAGCAATGACTAAAGATGGGACTTTGTGGATGAAAAACAACATGGAAGAGGCTCTTTCTCTCATTTTCAGATTCTTTCAATTATTTTCGAAAGCAAAGTATGAAATCCGAATCATTTGGTTTAATGAACAAGAGGAACATGACATTTTGAGATTTCATCATTTGGGTCACTTTTGTTTGACTTGTGTATGTAAAATTGCCAGCGTCTTCTCTTGTAACCCAAGGGTTACATGTGGCACTGCCTATCAGCTCTGATTCTACCTACTGATCACTGGTTGATGTGCCACTGCTGTATGTCGATATTACAGCTTTGTGCAAATGGACACTCAAAAACCTCTAGATTAATTGGGGACAGAAAACTAAGCAGAAAATTTCACTGGATTTCTTCAGGGAAAAGAGAAATTCTCCAACCATTTCGGTGCAACTCATTATTAGCAGGAATTCAAGTACAGCTTTGTTATTTCATCTTTTTTGGGAGGTGGGTGGGAGCACTGTTGTTGCCACATGATAACTATTCTGGTTCCTGGACCATCATTTTGCTTCCTCTACAATATGCTCTGCCTAGTTAAGTTCTTGTACACTTTGGTGGCTATAGCAGAGACACAGCCACCAAAAACTGGTACACAACTTGACAAGGTCTGATCTGGCCACAGTGACACATGCCCTACTTATATATCAGTTGGATTACTGTAACACACTCTACATGGGGCTGCCTTTGGAAACTGTTTGGAAACTCTAAAGGATCTAAAATTCTGCATCCAGATAGTTAACTAGGGCTGGTTACGGGGAACATGTAACACCCATGTTACAACAGCTCCACTAATTACCAATTTGTTTCTTGGCACAATTCAAAGTGCTGGCTTTAACCTATAAAGCCCTAAATGGCTTGGGTCCAATTTATTTAAAAGACTGCATCTCCCTCTATGAGCCTGCCCAAGCATTAAGATAATCAGGAGAGGCCTTTCTCTCAGTCCCACCACCCTCACAGATGCACTTGGTGGGGACACAGGAGAGGGCCTTATCTGTCGCTTCTCCCAGACTCTGGAACTTCCTCCCGTGGGAAGCTAGGCTGGCCCCATATTTGCTATCCTTCCGCAGGCAAAATTTTGGAAAATACTAATGGGCATATGGTTGTGTAAGTAGGTGGTTTAGTGGTCTATCCACTATACCGCCCACTTACACAAGCACACATCCACCAGTACCATGCCAAACATTTCTCCTAGTTTTGAACATTCTGTTTCAGCTCTGAGATGCATGCATAGCAGTAAGGCAATGAGCTGCTTGTTAACCAGCTGGGAGCATATTAGTACTTGAGAGGTCAACATTAATGAGTTCTAAGCAGCCATGCTATCATTCAGCAGGAAAAAAATAACTCAGATCACAAACATTTCTGTTGACCCGCAGCAACCTTAGTACCTGCTTTTTTCAAAATTCATTAAATCTACGCAGCTATGCTTATTTTAAAATAAAAAACATTTGAATTACAACTTCTAGAAGACAATCACATACCAATTATCTGTTTATAATTAAGCAGTTTGGTACTGAGAGCTGGCTAGATAAATCTGCAGTTCTCAATATTGCACTTCCTCCATTTTAAAGAGCTGAGGATTCCTGAATTCCACCAGCAACAGTAAAAGCACAGAAAAGAGGATATAACTCATTTAAGCACTTTCACAGACCTTAACACAACATATATTTATGCCTATGAAGCCTGAACGCCATTTATAAACTCAGTGTAAGTCAAACATTCCACGGAAAACACTGTCCAAAGTCAGCAGAAAATAATTCCATAATGCTGGATTGCTGCATGGTGCAGCCCTGTCAAATACAACCCATTTAGCACAACACTTGCTGTATGAAAAACTATCTGAGACAGGAGTAGGTTAATGATATTTCTTGGAAGAGTGTGATTTATATCAAAAAAGATATCACGTATATCTTTACTGGCAGCAGGACATAATCATAGGTTAATGATATTCCTTGGAAGAGTGTGATTTATATCAAAAAAAGATAAGTTATCATGTATATCTTTACTGGCAGCAGGACATAATCCCAAGACATTTTATGTTGCTAGTATGCCCAAATGAAACAAGTCTGGAATTGCTCAGTGCTTGGTGGGAGACCATTTGGGATTACATACCTCTGGGATCTTTATATACATCATTGTGAGTTGGGAGGGAAGGGGAAGGTAAAATATAAACAATATATATATGTAAGATGATAAAATTTATCAAGGCAAGCAGCTGACATGCCTGAATAATTTCAGGCTCCATATCATCGAAACTTTGGCCCAAAAAAACCCCACCCTAAATTCCATCTCCATTGCCTGTTAGTGATATTACAGTTACATTTCTTTACCTACCACCATGAAACCTCCTAACGCAAATTGTAAAACAGAATTCTGAGGGCCAACTGTTGTGTGTTTTCAAAAAAGCAACAATACTTGGCCCTATTTCCTACTAAGTGTGTATTTGTCTTGCATCTAGACTGAAATTTCTTTCTGATCATCCAAAACCAAACCAGTGGATGCAAAGAGATCTTTGGCTGGAACACCTCAAAAATCTGATGAAAGGAAAACAAGCATTTCAATAGCAAAGGAGCACATAGGGATTGAAGGAAGAGACAGGGAATAACTGAAGCTTTCTGGTTCATCCTCCTTTATGTAATGCTTCGTGGACAAACAAAGGAAAGCAGAAGGCCGACATTTGCTGAATGGTCATTTTACAATGAGTGAAATCTCATGCATATACTTACGAAGTGTCATCTGGCAGAAGCTCAAGGGACACGAGATTACAAGATGCTTAAATCTGTACTTTAACAAGGTGCCTTCTTTTCTTTTAAACTGAGCTGCACCCAAGTAAAAGCTATCAAGAATATCTTACCCCCATCTAGGCTGCGAGACATAGTGTAGCGCTTGCTTGATGAACGTTCAAAGTAAGGAGCAGGGCGGTCAATCAGAGCACTGGCTCTCCTTGTCTGGGCTTGAGTCCTTCCACTGTAGCGAAACTTGGAACCCAGTGTAAGGAATTTTTTGGGGGGAGCCTCTGGTAGCAAGAGCCTAGAGTATAAGACAAATGGATGGTTTTCTATTTCCTTTATATTTTAAAGCTGTGCATCTATGTATTTGATAATATTCCAGATAAGCAAATATAGTTATGACACACTGCAATCTTAGACAGGTCTTCTCAGAAGTAATTTACACAATAATTGTATCAATTATGTGAACTGCTCGATAGTTCAGTAGTTTAAGGATATGGCCGTGGAGTCAGAAGTTGGGAGTTTCATTCCCCACTGTGCCTCTTTGACAGGATCTGGACTTGATGATCCAAGTCCCTCCAGCTCTGCATTTTTAAGATTATTAGTATTATATTCCAAGAACTCCAACATCAAAGAAAAGAGTAAGTCCTCATCATCTACAGCCAGTAATTTAGTATGATGTTGAGTTGCTCAACTGTACAAGATACACACTTATGTATCTACACAGATTGGTGGATCTCATTAAGCCTCATCTATACAAATGTAGTATTTGTGATTAGAAATGTTTAATTTGTATTTTCAATTGCAACTCCCAGAACTCCCAGGCAGCTTGGTGGTCAGAAAATTTTGAGACTTGTACTCCAAAACCATAAACCTGAACACCTTTATTTGTGAACTCACTGTTTACTGTAGCAGATCAGGATTCTCATTCTTACATGAAAGAAAGGAATTCTGATATTATTACAAACAATTCTGTAACAGTTATTGCTCCACATCAGTGGCTATGTCATTTCTGTCACAAGGTAACATTATTTATTTATTTATTTATTTGATTTATACCCCGCCTATCTGGACTACCAGTCCACTCTAGGCGGCTTCCAATACAAAATCGGACAATAAAACACAGGCAAGTACATGCTAATTTAGTAACAGGTATAATAAAAAATAGGGAAAGTAAGAGAAAGAAAAAGTAAAGAAGAAAAAATAAATAAATTAAGAGTTGACCTATTTCCTAGGGAATATAATATCCTGATGCCCTGCTTTTTTCACCATCATCTAATTAATTTCTAAGTTATAACATTAAATGTTTTCAATATCTGGAAGTCCTGAAATCTTACCTAAAACATCTGGATCACATAAACATGTAGCAAACTACAGTATTATATAATAGAATAAGCCTGCTTTCTTTCACTGTTTAAGATTAAAGCTCATGTATCACGCTAACAGCTTTCAGAAGACCTGTTACCAAGATGTAGAGATATATATATTTTTTTAGGATCTTGTAGCAATTTGTTCTTATTTTCTGCTCATTTAAGACAAACTTTTAAAAAGAAGTTAGGTACCTGAAAAATGTATGATGTTCAACACATACTTTCCACAAGCGTTTTGCAGCACGATGATTTGGGAGTTTAAACCCAATTGTGCTTTCAAACTGTTCAAACTAGAGGAAGAAAGAACATGTTGCTTCACAAACACAACTTTTAAAAATGCTCTTTATATGTATTCACACTTTTGCAAATACCTGTACAGTACATACATGCAAACTTACGTTAGGCTGCCAATATAAGAAAGTAACATTAAGGTTATTCCAGATGTGTAGCTGCTCATGAAATCATTAATTTGGTTCTTTGTGAAAGACCAGTCTTTGGATTGAATGCAAAGACATTTGAAGGGAAGATGTTTCATGTAATTAAATCTATTCCCATAAAAGGGGAATTAAGCTCCTTTAGCTTAATATCCTGAGTTTTCAGCCAGTATAAAACCATTTTTTTGTTCAGAGAATTGTGGTTTAATTCAAACTAAAATCTCTAAAAGCATGCAAGGAGCAAAGCAGGAGAGAAAGGGTTTAAGCTCACCTTTGGCTACATGAGTCTTACTGATTTAATCCAGTAGTAAACTAGAGTAAGCCCATTTACTCAACAAAACTTGCAGACTTGTTGACTCACTAAATTCTGTCAATTTAATGGGCCTAGTCTAGTTGCAACTTTCCACTGGATTTCAGCCACTGAATCCTTCAGGCATTTATTATATATTTAGAGTACAAATAACACAGTAGAAAGTATCCTTCCTTTGCTGTGGTTTGCTTCTTACTCAAAATTTACTGCTTTTGCACACTATAAACCCAAGACTATGTAGTTTATTGGGAAATGTAAGAGTGCTGAGTGCATTCAGTTACGCATGTTAAAAAGGATGAAAGAGAATTGGTAAGAGCAGGATTAATGGTGATTATTGTCCAGTAGTTTGAAATCATATGCCCAGCACAAATCCCTTATTCAAAAGATAAGTGTTTCACGGTAGTCTGTTATACTTCAGACATTTGACAAAATTCAATACTACTTTTAAGAAGAAAGAGCTGTTTGATGTTTCCATCAGTTTGCATATACATACCAGAGCATGATCTTAACTGCTACCAGAATTGCAAAGTTTACTAGATTTGCAAACAAACTGCCTGATGTGTACGATTTTCAAGTGGGGACAGATGAGTTGGAGTGGCATAAAAATGAACAGGGAAGTGGCAGAAAGCCAACTTTGAAAAGATTGTGACATATAGAAAATGTAATTTTTTAAATAGATGCTTTACAGTGCACTGATTTCTTAACAGAAATTTGATCCAACAGGTTGATGAGGTCAGACAAGCAGGACTGCCTGTCTTCCAACAAAAATGCTGAGGAAATTTAGTTGATTTAAGTCCACTTACTTCTCCTGGTCGAATTTTGATGTAGAAGTTATTCCTCTTGTATGAAATTTTAAGAACCTTAGGCCAAGCAAACCTGTTTATTCTGAGTCTGTCCCGATATATCAGGAGACCACTTGCACAGACCCCTAACATTATTTCAACACCTTCAGAATCCTTTAAAACAGAGAGAATTAAGATTAGAAAAGGAGGATAAAGTCTCTTTCCATAAATCTTCCATTTTAAGTAGTAAATTTACCACTGTGATGTTTCACTTAACATTTTCACTATCAAATTGACAGTGCAGTGCAGACTGAAACTTTTATGGCCAGTTTCCTCTACTTTAAGGACACACTTTGTGCCTTTCATAAAATCTATCAGCGTTTAGCTTTTGGAGGAGGGAGGGAGATGACTTGCATACATCATAACAGATTTTCTCACTTTAAAACATCCCATTAAAGAACACATATGTAGTCAGAAGCATTGGTTGTTTCTTTTTGGATTTTTCTGCTGTGGTTCAAACCAATGCTGGTTCTGCTATGATAACCAAAATAAATCATGTCACAGTGCTCTTTCTTGGCTTGCCACATCATCAATTACACAGTCACACATAACAGAAAGTATGGGACCTTAACAACTAATGAATTTGGCAGGTTTTATTTGGTGTAAGATTTTGCAAGCTACAGCCCAGGCAGTGTTGTGGAGTGGACTACAGTTCACATTTTCACACAACTGAAGAAGACAACTACAGTCCATGCAAGCTTATACCAAATAAAACCTGGTCTTTAAAGGTGTCACAATTGTTTTTGCTATGACAGACTAACACAGCTATCTCCCTGGAAATATGAGAAAGTTTTCATGTATTGTAGCTTGCTCTATTAAGTGGGCTGCCCATGAAAGCTCATGTCTTGGATGTTGTTAATATTAATTTTCTTTTCTTGGGCTTTCTTTTTCTTTTTGTATTAATTTTATATCTAAATTGTGAACCACCATATTGATTGTATTGTTATATGGGGCTGTGTGGGATTCTAGTTTCAATTTGTAAACCTGCAAGAATTGTATTTTCAGTAAAGGGGTGATATACAAATCAAATAAATAAATGAAATGTGAAATAAATTTGTAAACTTCTAAGCTGCCACAAAGTACCTTTTATTGTTTTTGCTTCAAAGGATTAATTTCATACCTCTCCTGGAAACAGTTACAACCAACCATTTTCTCTTTGAGGAGGTAATTTTCTGATACAGCTTTGCACAAGTACAAATGAAAGTCTCTCCAATAGCTCTGCCAATGTGGTACAATGGACTTTTGCCTCTTTTCCAGGAGGCAGCTCTTTTAACCATGATTTTATTTATTTATTTAAAATATTTTTACCCCACGTTTCTCCTCAAAAGGACTAGCACAGCATGCTGATGGCTGCTCCAACACAAGTGTTTCACAAGGATGAAATATGTTACACAACTATAAGAAAATGCTGTGAAGTACTTGTTGCAGTTTTGGAATTTTTATAACTAATCCTACATGTTACATTTTTCTGTAATGGATCAGATTTGGTTCTACTTCAATTAAAAGTGCATTTACTGATCTGGAGAATTCTGGCACAATACATATTTGTCGATGTAGAATAAAGGACTATATATCTAGGGTTTTAATACTACCTGTATTTCTGTTTACATTCTGTACCTTGGCATGGTGTAGATCTACTCCATACATGGATAATTTTTTGGCATTCTCCAAAAAATGCATTTCGGCCTCTGCAGGTGTCATTCCCCTAAAGAAAATCAGTACAGTTAAAGACAATAAAACACATAAAATGAGCTTCTTTTCTGGAGAAGAAATGTATTCTGTATACGATTTGAATGAAATGTAACAATATTTCCGAAATGTCTCTTTTTAAACTTACTTAAAACGGGCACTGTAATACTAGGACATTCAATACATTTTTCTTGTATGAACCTTGAATTCCAAAGAGACATATTGAATTTCTACCTGCTTTTCTTACCTGTGGCTTTTATGAAGTTCTATTACTTTATCTTCCAGTTCTTTAGTATGATTTGGTGCAAAGCGAAATTCACTGACATAATCACTTCCATATTCATCAGGGTCATAATCACCAAGCTCTGACTGAACAGTGTAAGAGCCCAACAGTGCAAGTGTAACAAAAGAACAGGGCAATCGTCCAGAAACAATGTCATCTCTCAGCTGTAAACAAAGGTAGTACCTGTGTGGGATTTTAAAAATAATTAGCACTTCCACACATGCACCCTTCCTCTCCACACTCCCTGCCTGCCTGGGATATGCAGTTTCTAGCAAACCAAACACAACTGTAGTTCATATTACAAGTTGCCACTTGAAATCATTGGCTTAATCAGTGGAGGAAAGGAAGAGATGATAGACAGAAAATTGAAATAAATACCTCGTTCCTTTCTTAGGAAGGAGAGAGTGCTGCTTGTTCCATGAGCATTAGGTTAATATACTTGAAACAAAAACTCATTCAAAGCCTAAAGGAGAGGTGCACATGTGTGCTCAGACACAGCATGCCATCACAACTCAATTTGGTTTTTTTAGGCACAGTGGTTGTCCTCTTTAGCTGCAGTCCATGTTCTCTATTTTTCATTTGAGCTAACTACAGGGAACTATGTATAGGTCAATGATTTAGGTCTCTGGCCACGTAACCAGAGATTGGGAGTTCAATTCCCCATTGTGCCTCCTTGACAGGGGTTGGACTCAGTGATCCATATCGTCCCTTCCAGCTCTGCAGTTCTAAGATTGTATTAGATGCATACATATTCTTCACTTGTAAATGCTCATACTGCACCATTCTCATAGTTTGATGGAGCATCAGAAAAATCTTCAAAAAAACTCTCAAGTTTGCATTTAATTGTCTGAGAATTCTTAAAGAGAATATAGAAAGACCTCCTCCAGAGAGCCCCACCACTAGCCATCCACCACATCCCCTTCCCTTTCTTCTCCCCAAAATAAAGTATGTTGGAGTAATGAAGGAAACAGAAATCAGAACATCTGGCTCAAGAGAAAACTTGAAACATCCACTACTGCCAGGAAATCTAGGTAATCAAATTTTCAGTATATCCTGGCTCATTTTAGGTAGGAAAAGTTGGAAACCACATTCTCCAGGTTTCTCCACGGTAATGCATGCCTTGAGGCTAAGGCTCTGATGCTGCACGAATATCCTCTCTTTGTGCAATAAGAATACATTACATGATTCTGAGACAAGTCAATTAACCGAGTTTGAGATCAGGAAAGGAACAGAGGAGAAAATTCCAACATATACACTGCATCCAGTAGCTTTTTCTTCCACCACCTACTATCATCACTATGGTAGTGACTGAAAATGTGATCACATGGCACTGAAGGGATAACTGTTAGTTTAAAAGAAATGACTGTCTTCAACTACATAGGAAGAAACCTTAGTTTAGGCATCCTTCAGTCTCAAGCGACTATGGTAATGTGCTCTGAATAGAGAACTTGGAACAGCATCTAGTGTGGCTGAGAAGGCCAATTTGAGAGTGACAATCCCTTCCACACTGAAAACAAATACAACCTGTCTCCTGTCCAGCTCCCTGATTTTGCTGCTTTCGGGAACTGCCTCTTTGCCTTGGCCTGTTGGAGAAAGTGTCTCTTCAAAATGGGAGAGGCCATGCTGTATCGCCTGCCTGCAGGCTGAACGCTCAGATGTCAGGGTTTCCCATCTGTTGAGGTCCATTCCTAAGGCCTTCAGATCCCGCTTGCAGATATCCTTGTAACACAGCTGTGGTCTTCCTCTGGGGTGATTTTCCTGCACTAATTCTCCATACAGGAGATATTTTGGAATCCAACCATCAGCCATTCTCGTGACATGTCCAAGCAAATGCAGATGTCACTGTTTCAGTAATGTACACATGCTAAAAAGAAGAAACACTAGGAAAAAACCTAGTGTTTGAAATACCTGGTAATATCTTCAGAAAGTTGGGCAGGATCAGGAGGATAGAATTTCACATTAAATGAGAATTGCCAAGCACCACCTGTAAAAGAAACAAAGAATGGCTGAGATTCTTTGCACACTGTCTCCAATATTCACAATGAATGTTTCAGGTGTCTGTCTGTAGCATTCTTATAGTAAAGCTCCCTCAGCTTTCAATGTTATTTTTCTCCCAAGGCAGAGATTTGTCCTTTGGCAACTAATGATGTACTCAAAAACTCCATAAAACTTTGAAGGCAAAGAACTCTTTCTTAGAGAAGATATTGTTTATATAACCAATTAAAAATAGAAATAAGAACAGTCAGTAGAGTTTATGCCCCTAACTGAACAAAACACATAAAACTATAATACCAACGTATTAATCAGTACTTCAGGGGATGCCACCTCAGCAAATACAAATATGGAGGTCACTACTCACAAGTAATCTTGAAACGTTAAGGTCCAAATCAGTATTCAAATACAGTACACTGCTTCAACAACCAGTTTAATGTTGTTTTACTTTGCATTTTCAAATAAAGATAATTCAGTGCCCATTGTTTTATACTACTTGAGTCTTGATATAATTACAGTATTTCCTTCAAGAGTAAAAAGTATACATATTTTCATTTTCTATATAATGTTTTACCCAGCGTTTCCAAAAGTTCCTTTTGGGGAGAGGGGACAACACCCATTTATCCAACTGCCCTCTTGGCTGGAGGGTTCTGGGAAGTGTGCCCCTCCCCACAAAAGAGAGGAACTTTTCCAAGCCTTCTTTTTACCCCCTTTATCTTGCATGCTGGCTGTGCCCTTTTCTTGGGCCCAGTTCATGTTCTTGTCGCTTTCAGATTAGATTACTATTATATATTCAATGTGGCCAATTCTTCAGATACTACAACTGACTGAGAATTCAGCTGCCAACATCCTGACTGAACCCATACACTGGATAATACTAAAATCTTTCACCAGATACATTGCTTCGTTTTTTTGTTGTTGTTGTTGTTGTTTTGTTTTAAGGCTTAGTTCAAGGTACAACTTTGGATTTTTAAGACACTCCACAGTCTGCAACCAGGATAGCTCAAAAATTATCCCCACTCCACCCCATGAGCCTACCCTGAGGCCCCTCTTCAGATCCCATGCCATTGTTACCAGGTATATATGATACACTAGAAGCTTGATTTTGTGGTGCCCAGAAACCAGAATATTCTATGAAAAGGTACACCTAACTACACTGTTTGCTTATTTTCAATAAAGATGAAAACTATTTTGTTTTCAAAAGGCATTTACAGAATACTGCTTCAAAGAATCATTTTCCTGTTACTAGAATTTTTTTTAAAAAAACTTTGCTGTAAATCTGGTGAGAAAACTAGCTGCTCATTTATTGTTTCTTGATTTGTATCTAAAGAAAAACAGAACAGAAATGTTATAATAAATAAACTATAAATATATCTCTCTAGGAGGATAAATATCTTCTTACCACCAGCAATAGTGCGGAGTAGATGTTTTAATTCCATTTTAAGTGTTTTTATATTTTGTACAATCCTATTTTTAACTATTCAAGCAGAGCACAAAGTGATGAATATACATGTTGAAGCTATGTCAAGTTTTATTACTAAAGCCTTGGTGTGCCTGGCAGAAGAGGGTTCGTGCTAATCTTGACATTACAGTGTACATTAAGCTGCGTGTAAATTTTCTACAGCTTTAAGAAAAAGATCTGGAATATTATCCCTGAGTTGTCCACTGCCACATATAAACTACTACACTGCTTATTTACATGCATATGATGTCTTTTTCAGTCCGCCTTTATATATGAAGCTTTTAAGATTCTTCATTTAAGGTAGAATTCTAAATAGAAAATGAACAGGGATTGTAACAATGAATTCTAGAATGCAGATCCTTGAATCAATCGTTTGGATAGAACCAAAAAAGAGAGAGAAAGAAATGAACTAAGCCTGCTATAGGGATTTGTGCACATTACTTCATATCAGGGTTAGGAAAAAAGCAGAAGTTCATATTTATTTTCCATATAAGGTACAACTGGGAAACAGTGAAAGTTGTGTAGCCAAGTTCTTTTTTAAAAGTTTTATTTTCAGTAAGGATCAAGGTTGGGGTGTGGGTACAAGGGAATAAGGAAAAAATGGATAGGGGCTGGAGAAGGGGTAAAATTCTAGAGAGCGAAAGTGTATTCTTACATCCACTTACTTAGTTATGATAAAAGGGAAATCACATAAATAATCTAACAGATTTTCCAGACTATCTGTCTTTACAACTCTCTCCATTCCTTTGGACATTCTCAAACTTCTTTCATCTATGCTTTCCAGTCCATATTTCAGCTCCAATTGTAAACCCGTTCCCATTTTTAAAGTCCTTTTTGAGACTTTCATTTAATGCTTCTGTTAGTACATCCATCTCCGCCACTTCCAGTATCTTTTGTATCAGTTCCTCCAGAGATTGTACCTCTTCTTTCTTCCAATATTTTCCATACAGTAGCCTTGCTGCTATGATTACATGTATTATCAAATATCTCATTTCTTTATCTACAATTTCAGTCACAACATTCAGTAAAAACAATTCTGGTTTATATGGTATAACATAAGACAAAAATTTTTGTAACATTGCAGGTATTGATCTCTGTAGCATTCACCCTGCTCATGAATATTTATGTTGAAATTTGCATGCACCAATAGGAGTTGGTGGGGGCAGAGTTAAGTGGGGGAAAGTAAAAGGAGAGAGAGGGAGAGAAGAGTAGGCAGTTGAGAATGAAGAAAGAAAGTTGTTTAGTTGAAAGTTAAAGACATTGACTGGACTTTTATCACTTGTAAAAATAAACAATTTCTACCTGGTTCTCAAATGATATGTTGCCTGGACCTCTGTTATTAATACTGAACAAAGTTGATGTAATCAACTGGTGGCAGTTGAATGACACGTAGTGTGCACCTTTGCTTGGTGCACACTACGTGGGCACTACCAAGGGCCACACGGGAACATGACAAACTGGTGGCACAGCAGTTGGATACGAAACAATCCAGTGTGAAATCGAATTTTCTTGAGTCTGGAGAAAAAAAATGATCTGTGGCGTAAGCAGTGGTTACCCGTTAAGAGTCTTGTGGAAGTCTTTGTTTCAGGGCTTCTGAACCCACGTCTCGGGAATCCCAAATTTCCCCAAAATTTATTAACGTTTCCATCTGTTCATCGATAGAGTTACTGGGTTCTTCCAAAATAAAAACTAAATCAGTAAATGCCTGTAATTCATATTCTTCTCCCCTTATTTTTAGCCCTCTTATGTTTCTGTTAGCCCTGATTTTGCTCATTAAGGATTTTCAATGAAAGTATAGTGGGGATAATGGACAATCCTGTCTTGGACTTTTCTGTATTTAAATATCTTTTGTGAAGTTTCCATTAATTTGGATTTTAGGTTTTTGTTTAGTATAAATAGTCTTTATTGACCTAATAACTCTTCCCCCCATTTTCATCACTTCCAGTTGCTGTATCATAAAATTCCAGTTCAGATTGTCAAATGCTTTTTTCACATCCAGAAAAATCATAGCCATTGATTTTTCTGGATGCACTTCATAGTATTCCAATATACTTAAAATCCTTCAAAGATTGTTTCTCATTTGCCTTTTTTGAAGGAACCCGGATTGATCATCCTGTATTACTTGTGAAAGGACCTTTTTCAATCTAGTTGCCAATATTGTAGCATATATTTTATAATCCACATTTAAAAGTGATATTGGTCTATAATTTTTAATTTCCATAGGGTCGGTTTCTTCTTTATAGATGAAACTTCCCCTTGACATTTAATCCAGTCGTGTCCGACTGTAGGGAGGGGTGCTGATCCCTGTCTCCAATCCATAGAGCCAGCGTTTGTCCGTCGACAGTTTCTGTGGTCACATGGAAAGCGTGACTAGACACAGAACACCATTAACTTTCCACCGAGGTGGTACCTATTTATCTATTTGCATTTGCATGCTTTTGAGCTGCTAGGTTGGCAGGAGCAGGGACAAGCAATGGGAGCTAACTCTATTACGTGGATTGGATCTTACGACTGCTGGTCTTCTGACATTGCAGCACAGAGGCTTCTGTTGTTTAACCCACAGTGCCACCACGTCCCTCTTTATGGACAGTAGTAATCAATGCTTCTGCTCATGTTGCTGGTATTGTCCTTTCTTGATCTATCACTTCTAGTAGTTTCTTATATGGTTTAAGTAATATATCCTCAAAAGTTTTATAATACTCTGCCAAGATCCTATCTCCTCCTGGGGATTTTCCATTCTTTCGCTTCCTGAAGGCTTCTACTATTTCATTAAATGAAAATGGTTCATTCAGCATTGGTTTCTGCTAACTTGTTAACTTTATGTTATTATATTTCCCCAGATATTCTCTCTGTTTTTCTTTGGAAATTTCTTTTTCCCAGTATAGATTTTGATAGAATTTCTCTTCAATTTTTCTTCTTGTCTGTATTTTATCATTCATTCCTCATCCTTCAAATTTTAGATTATAGTTTTTCCTCTTACTTTTCATAATTTATATGCCAACCATGTTCCTGGTTTGTTTGCATTTTCAAAGAAATTTTGCCTTCCGAATTTTATCCTTTTTGTCATCTCTTCTGTCATCAAGACATTCAATTGATGTGTTAATTTTATCTTCATCCTCAACTGTGTCACATTCAGATTTTGCTTTAACTGTTTCTCACACAAGAACAGTGTCTTTTCCAGTTCTTTATATTTTGCCATTCTCTTTTTATTTTTTGTCTTGCTGCAATTCTCATTATTAAGCCTAAAAAAAGCTTTCTCTTTTCCCATACTATTACCATTGATGTTTCTGGAAGCACGTTAAGTTTAAAGAATATATCCATTTCTTCTCTTATTTGTTTTGTGAAAGTATGGTGTTTTTAAAAGGGTTGTATTTAGACTCCAATATGACAATTTCGGCCCCCATTTCCAAATGTACTAAGATGGGACTATGGTCTGCAAATGTTTTAAGCAAAATGTCCACTTCCAATACTTCCTTCATCCAACCCAAAAATATCCAGCATGCATCAATTCTTGACCAGCATTTATGTCT